ATTTATATATTTTTTTTTTTGAAAATAATATATTTATTTTATTAAAAAAAAAAGAAAAGCAACACGTCTAGTACGAAAAAATTATTTTTTTAATCATCGTAGGAGTTCCTATAACCCACGAACTATCATTACAGTCGCCTACTTACATTCGTTTAAGATTATTCTAATGCAAATGGAAGGGAAGCATCTCGAATAGATAACGTCAATATAGATTCTTTTTTTTCTATTTTTTTTTTTTTCGATTTAATGGCTCATGTAGCAGACCGTGGCCAATTTCACGCTAAGATTTTCACTTTTCACGGAGGACAAGCATGAACTTCGCGAAATTCAAGCCGGGGTGCGATCGATGTGCTTAACTGATGTCGACTTACTCAACCGATTTCTCGCTCTATCGCATTTTAAAATCAAAAAATCTTTCGTCATTGTGTAAAAATGAAGAAGAAGAAGAAAAAGAAGTGAAAGAAAAAGAATTAATAAAAGATGTTTAACAGATATCACAAATTTAATCGAAATTAAATTAACTACGTTGACACATATATTTATATCATTTATTTCAACGGTTTTTTTCTTCTTCTTTTTTTTATATATATAAACAATAATCAAATCGAAACGAATGCATTATTATCGATCAATGATCAAATAGCAATTTAATATCGAATCGACTTCATTACTGTCGTATTACAAAATAAAATAAAATTATTATACGACGAGACGACATATTATATACTTTATTTATTTATATATTTACGTGTGTGTATGTTTACGATAATTATTATATATTGTACCTGTTATAATTTAATCGATTCATAATATGAATATTTTCTCATTGCAATAAATTCAACGTTTGTAAAATAATGCGCGATAAAATATAATAAATTTATAACCGATTACAAGCAACTAACGACATAATTTATTTCCGAAACAAATAAATGTCTATGTAAAATAGTATAAAACTAGAAATTCTGGTTATATAATATCGTATCTATTGAATCGTTTCATAAATAAGTATCATTTTATGATAATATAGTATTATATTCCTTGTAACAACATCATTTAGATTTACGATTCAATTCAATAATCTTTGGTTTTCGTTTGAACGAATAAAAAATTATTATCGATAATTTAACGTTTGTTCTTCATCGAATATTTCTTTCCAAAAGATTGTCCACCCTTTTTGCCATATTTTTCATCAAGATGATGATGATCGTCGTATCCTTCGGCTGACTTTTCACCCTTTTCGTCGTTACTATGATATCCCTTCTCGTGTTTCGATTCTTTACCATGTTTATGCTGAACACACACAAATAAAATTTTATTAAAATAAAAAGAAAAAAACTATCAATTTTGATTAGTTAGGGGTTAAATAAAAGGATAGAGATAATAATTCGTAGTAATAACCTCATCGTAACCGGAATCATGGTGTCCTTTCTTTTCGGTACTTCCTTTTTTACCCTCGTGTTCTTGATGATAGGCACCGTGTTTTTCTTGATCCCCATCTTCGTGATACTCATCGTAAAAATCGTGTTTTTTCTCATATTCATCCTAATCATAAACGAATAAACATATTACATTTATAAATCATCGAATATTCATTTAACAAAAAGAAAAACAAAATTTATAATTTAATTTTCATCACATAGTCACATAGAATATTTCATAATAATCATAGAATTTTAACACGATTGGTTTAATATATTCTAATTAATTAACAATTAATATTTGAATAATAAAAACTTTATGTAATCATCGAATTAAAGTTGAGAAAAATTTCTGAACGTACTTTTTTGAAAATATTATGTTCCCCTTTAGTACTGTGTCCCTTTTGATGTTTTCCTTCCTCCTCAAATTTCGCATTCTTCTCTCCTTTTACACCATGATGATGTTCGCCGTAATGGCCACCCTCTTCGTGCTTTTTTTTATCATGGCCTTCCTTCTCGTCATAACTATCCTCGTGATCTTCTTTGTCATGATGACCCTTCTCTCCCTTCTCGTATTCGTGAATCTTTTCGTAACCCTTTATTTTTTTTTTCGTTTTCCCCCCCATCATTTAACGAACGAACAAAAGTTAATGTAAAACATTGATAAAGGTTTAATTATTTAACATATATATATATTTTTTTTAATATAATATAGTTGTGAATTATTTACACATTTTCTTTTGTTATATATATATATATACAACAAAAATAATATTAGATTTATTTTATTTACATTTTATTTTTAAACGGATCGATTTATTATTTACAGTATAAATAATCACAAAGCTATTATTTGAATACTAAAAACGTTAAACAATTTAACGAGATGAAGTACGTGAATGAATTAATTGATATTGGGAAAAAAAAACAATAGGAAAAAATTAAAGAATAGAAAAAAAAGTAGATGCCATACCTCGTCGTCTTTTTCTCCCTTTGATTCGTGATGTTCTTCTTCGTGTTTTAAACTGCCACCCTTCTCGACGTGTTTGTCACCACCACCACCACCACCACCACCACCACCGACGTCAGTTTCACCCTCGCCTACTCGAATCAAATGCAAATAAAGCGTCTAGTTATTCGCTGTTAAAGGCGAACGTCTTTTTAAACGAAACCATTCGATACCCTTTAATAGCACAATTAAGGTCATCCAAAAGAAACTTTGATATTTCTTTTTTATTTTTTTGTTTATTCCCTTTTCTAACAATCCTACGTCGAATCGAAATAAATTCATTTATTACAACTACGAAATACGATGACATTATTAATTATTGTCATTAAGATTTTTCTATGTTTTTTCATTTGTTTTGTGTGAAAGTATATATTATATAAATGATATTATTTAACAATAAGTAATTAAATACAAAAATTAAATAACACATTAAATGTGTTAACGATAACATTTTCAAAATTTATTTTAATCTATTTCATATAAATATTATATAAATAAATTAATTATTTTTGATGTAAATATTCAAATGGAAATATTTATTTTCCAAAGGCAAAATATTCAATAATAAATTATTATTCGTTAGATACAAAGTATTTTGAAAATGTATTTATCGGTCAATTAAATACTGAATACTATTATATATAAGATATAGCACAATATTTTCTTTTATAATAATAATTATGTAGATAAAAAATCTCGAAGTTATAGTATATTACAAACCAATTGAAAATCATTGTAATTTTTACGTGCCTTTATTACTAGCGGATGTTTCGAGATCGTCGACGTATCTAAATGCGATCGGTCTTCTGTTAACTTTCTTCAAGGTCAACGATGTATCGATCAAGGTAAAGAAAATGCACAGAAATATAAGTAAAATATTGGACATTTTGTATAAATCACGTTTACAAGGTAAGAAAATCATTAGGTTTTCAACTTTAATCTATCGCGTGATGATCTAAACGATCTACTGAAATCTGTTAGCATGATGCCACGGATTTAATATGATCGCGCTTCTCCGATCGTCAATTTTTTTTCGTCAATCTTGTGGTCGAGTTCTATCAGTGTTAACTTTTTCATTAACTACGGACAACGTAGTCTTAACTTTCTTATGAAAAGAAGATCAATACAACTTTTCTCTAATAACTTTCACCATTATCGGCACGCTTGTCTATCAAATTTCAAATCTTTACTTCATTGAGATTAATTTTCCCATCATTTCGTAGAATTTTTTCTTCTATCAAAATGTATTGACATTGAATTGCTCATAATTTGAAATAGGTGTACTTGAATGTATGTATATTTATATACAGGGTGTCCCAACTGAATGAAAACATTTAAATATATATATACATATATATACTTCGTTTCTAAATAATATATAAAATATACTTAGAATAGTTTGGTAATAATAAAAAACATACACTTTTATAGGATATAAAAATACCTATGACTTAGAAAACATTTTTCGTATCATTAAAAAAAAACATTGGAAATGATTTATATATCCTCTTTCAACTGGGACACCCCGTATACGTAATTTAATATTGACTCGTATAAAAATGTATATTGAATTAAAAAAAAAGTAACACGTAAAATCTGTTAAATGGCACTTTGACAACCGCTATATTGTGTATTTTTAATTTCTTTGTTAAAATCAAATAAATTCGCAAAAGAGAAAGTTGTTGACTAAAAACGTTTGGATATTTCTAAGCATGATTAAATCTATGAAGGAAGTGACTCACTTGAAATTGCGATTTTATTTCAATGAGACGGTGGGGGGGGGGRGGAAAAAGAAAGAGAAAGAAAAAGAAAAAGAAAAAGAGAAAGAGAGAGAGAGAAAGAACAAAGAAATGAATCGCGTTAATATGCATGCAGCCTCGTTGACCACAAAGTGGACAATAACTTTCATATTGAACTACGTTAATTCATAGTACAAAGAAATTCACAAAATAATACGATAGATAACAAAACAAAACAAAAGAAAAATAGGCCTCATAGAAAAAACCGTGAAACTTTAATAATTTTCTTTCTCTGATATAAAATCTATTTACGTGTTAGATTATTTCGAAAAACAACAAATTTATTTATTTATTACCGAACCTAGTTTGTGGGATTTTTATTCGATTGTGACTTTCGTTAATTGTATTTTCTTAACCCTTTTAGCACCGAACGACGATATATCGTTGCGCCTCTGTTAGGGCCTTATTGTACTCATAACAAGAGGTCTGTGTTTCAAAATAACTTAATAAAATGTTAAAATGGTTCATATTCGATGCAATACAAGTGAAAAAATGGTTATTAGATTTATTTTTTTGTTATATTTTATGCTTATTTGTGCCGCGGGTCTGTATATGTTAGTGCGATAAGATAGAAGCGGGACCCGGTATAGTTTTTCTGRACCGTAATCGCAATCTTTATGATATTTATGATAGTTATTGGAGTATTCAAGTTGCAAGATCTCTGTTTGAGAAGAATACATTTTTATCCGGAACAATACGCAGTAATAGAAAACATATTCCATCGCAGCTCAAATCAAAATTGSAAGTGGGCGAATGTAAGTACCAAAGAAATCGGGAAATACTTCTATTAGCGTACAGAGAAAAGAAGTCACAGAAAAAAAATGTACTACTGTTATCAACGCATGGAACAGTCGCAAATAAAACGACTGTAATTCGAAGACGGAATCAGCAAAGGGAAGTTCAAAAACCAGCAATCATCCACGACTACAATAAATATATAGGAGGCATTGATRTCTCAGATATGATGATTTACTCATATTTGGATGAGAGGAGAACAGTGAAATACTGGAAGAAAGTGGTATTTTCCATTTTTGCTCGCATGGTCTTGAATGCATACATWTTATACAAACACAACAGAGAAGCAAAGGTTATGAATCGACTCGAATTTGTAACCAGTATCATTCAGTCGATCACAACAGAATGGTTAGCGGAAAAAAATGTGAATCCAGAAAGTTCATTGGGTCACACATCGAGGGATTCAACAGTCCCAGGTATCAGTAAACTTCCTGGAAGAAGGGAAAAGGTTTGCGTAGTTTGCAGTAGACTGGATGGTGGGCCTGTGCGAAGATCGCGCACAATTTGTAATAATTGCAATAAAGGGTTGCATGGTATATGCATTAGTAAGCATCAATGCTAATAAATTGCTTRTGTAAGTAAAAGTAAGGAAATATAACATATTTTTAGTAGCCAGAAAACTAACTATAAATATCTATAATAACACTTATATTTTTTTTAGTGACGTATTACCAGCTGTACAATCCACTTGTGTAGTAGATCTGTCTGACGCTTGCCGTGCATCATAGCGTTATCTTTCCGTTTCTTTATCCRACTTCTGTTATTTTATTGCAAATGATAGCAAAATGCAATGACTGAACATTATAATAAAAGATGTATATACAGCTATGACTAAATGATGACTTTTTTTATGTGCAATTACCATTTGAAAAAGAGAAATCACTTTTGTACGATTTTTGTTATGTCTTATGTTCATGTTATTCCTATGATTTTCAACAAATAATGAAACACAATTCATATCGTCTTATTCTCCCTTTATTTCCGAATATGCTGCTTTTTATATTTTTTAAATATMGTTTCGTTTTTACGAGCATTTTCACAAACCTCTGCAAATTCGCCGATTCGGCCCGGTATTCTTCGCTTAGGCACGTTTTTTCCGCTGGTGCTAAAAGGGTTAAAGTAGTATACTATATTAAACAATCCAATTTTTATGTATATTTTTATACAAATGTATGTTCTTACAAAGATTTGACAAAGTTAAATTGACAACTGATGACAATGTATATGTAATAATGGTAATATTTTTTTTATGTTTAAACTTTGACTATAATCGTTTGAGTATAAGTAGCTATAAAACGACAAATGTTCTATAAATTCAACCCTTTTTTTTTTCAAAGCGACGTTATACGTATTAACGAGAACATAAAGTTTTTTTTTTATTATTTTTCAATACTAACACAAAGAGAATGACAACGAATTACGTTCGTACCTATCTATCTATAATATTTTTGCAAGAACGTATGGAACGCACTCAACACAATCGAAATAAAAATTTTTCTCCACCGACTAGAACTACCTTTTTGAATGAAAGAGGTTAGAAGAATCGTACGTGAAAATATTTTTATTCTTCTATAGCTAACATTTTTCATTCGATCACAAACACTTCATTTTATTCTCATCGAACAAACTAATTTAACATTGTTTCACATCCCATTTGTACGTACAACAATATTTATTCTATTAAAAATAAATATCAATTAGAATATATAATACATGATCTTTGATTTAATTAAAAAAAAAAAAAGAATCTTAATTTATGTTAACATGAAAGACCGAAATTGGATAATGTCAAGATTCACGTGGTTGAATGTCAACATATACCAAATACGTCGATTAAAGACCGAATATTACACATTAATTCTTTTGGACATACACCAATGTGAAGAATCTTGACATTCTCCAATTTCAGTATTTCACGGTGACATACGTATATATAACATTTATTAGTATTAACACTTTAACGACCGCTCACACAACATGTGTGTGATGCTACCGCCGAAGGTTTTTGGCCAGTACCACACTATTTTTAATTTTTAATTAAACTATGGTTGTGTACCATGTAAATTGTAATAATTTATATTGAAAAATATTACATTTTTGTTGTTTTTTGTTTTATGTTAATTTTTTCGTGAATTTAATAAAATTCTTTAAAATTAATTCTTCAAAAATACTGCCTGCCCCTGGCGACGTTTGACTCCGTAGACGTGCGGTCGTTAAAGTGTTAATAATGAATATAATTGTTAATATTGTCGAAATAGAATAAATTATTGTATAAAGGATATAAATAATCGATCAATAATTTGATCTGAAACTTAACGATAAACATTTTCATTTGCCAACCAAGAATAAACCTTAGTGGTTGTGAATGCTAACAAGATATCGATAAATGAATTAGCCGACGAAACGTTGCTGGATGCCCTATACTTGGTCATCTTAAATGTCTATGTAAATAAACAGGGTCTCGGTTAATTCCCATAATTCAATTCCCATGATCCCCTATATAACAGCGATTGTTACTGACCTCCTATTCATACGTGTTAAAGATACGCACTTGTTCGTACGAATACTCGTGGTTCCATCAAATTATATTTTACGACAATCATTTTACGTAAACAAAAAAGAAGAATAATAAGAAGATGTGCATCAGTTGTACATCATTTGTCATAATTTATCGTTGACAAAGTAAATAATATCGAAATAAGTTTTAACGAACGTATAATCAAACATGGGTTGCCCAAAATCTGAAAAAGACATGGAAGCACAACCGGACAAAAGGGAAAACAGTTTTCTTCATCAACCAAAATCATTGAATCTGGAAGAAAAGAAATATCTTTTGGCTGTTGAAAGAGGTGATTTACCTAACGTGAAAAGAATACTTCAAGCAGCTAACAAAGGTGAAATCAATGTAAGTTAGTGAATTATTCATTCTCAGCTGAAATTTACTTTAATTTCAACGAATTTTGGATATTTGTTATATTCTTCTGGATCATTACCTTTCAGGGCATGATACTTGACGTTAATTGCGTGGACAGTCTTGGTCGTGGTGCTATAACATTAGCAATAGAAGCTGAAAATCTTGAAATGATCGAACTTCTCATTGTAATGAGTGTTGAAACGAAGGATGCACTTTTGTATGCCATAGATAACGAATTCGTCGAAGCAACCGAATTGTTACTCGAATATGAAGAACTTATAACAGCTAACCAGACAAATGAACAGAACGGTTAGTGATTATTTTATTCATTATTTTTTTCTTTATAAAGCGAAATATTTCATTCTAGTCAATTTCTAAAAATGCATCCAATAACATTTTGCAATAAGACTTGTTTTTTTGTATTTTTCCATTAAATTCGTAAAGAATATTTATTGGTTTTGTTATGAACAATACGAAAGTAATTCATTTGTACTTAACTCGTGTTTTTTGTAAAATTGAACTTATATATTAGAATTAACCAAAAGTTCGTGTGTTTTTATTAAGTAATATTTCACTTGAATACAAAGTAAATTTTATTGACTTCAAAAAATTAAATTGCACTATTTGTGTGTGAAGTGCACCCTAATAAGAAAAAAGAAAAAAAAAACAAAGAAAATTAGAAATTATGATTCAAGAGAGAGTTTAATAATTATAATATTAACGTTTGATATTTAACAGACGAAAAAGAAATTTATCATAGTTGGCAAAAAATCGATCCGGTATCTGCTCGGTACCCAACCGACATGACGCCATTGATACTAGCGGCTCAACGTAACAACTATGAAATTCTGAAACTGTTGTTGGATAGAGGTGCTACTTTACCGATGCCGCACGACATCAGATGCAGTTGCGAAGATTGTCTACGTTCGACTGCAGGTCAGGAAACATCAAAGCTATGTGATAAATGATATTAAATAAAACAAAAAAAAAGAAATAAACTTGCTAAAACAATGTACTTATTTTGTATTTATTATTGTTAATCAACAGGTGACCCATTGAGACTTTCTTCAACCAGAATAAACGAATATAAGGCATTGGCTAGTCCAAGTTTGATATCCCTCAGTTCTCCGGATCCTCTGATGACAGCATTCCAATTAAGTTTGGAACTCAAAGAGTTGGCATGTGCCGAACCAGAAAGTAGAAAAGATTATTTAGAACTTAGATGTCAAGTTGAAAAGTATGTAAAATTTGATTTATTATTCGTTAAGAATAATTTATATTTATGAACGCGAATGATTTATATTTTGATATTGTTTAATCAGGTTCGCCGTCGATTTGTTGCAACAAATACGGACTACGGCAGAATTAAATACGATATTGAATTACAATCCCGAGGAAGGTAGTTTGTCGACGAAAAAATTGGCTAAACTCGAACAAGCTATACAATATAAGCAGAAAAGATTTGTCGCTCATTCTCACGTTCAACAATTACTTGCTGCTATTTGGTAAACATTTGATTCCTTTTTGTTATCATTAACCAGTTAAGTGTGTTTGACGACTATATCCGTCATGTAAGAATGACAGAATTTTGTGTTTTGACGGCTATATCCGTCATGCGTAAAATTTTCATACAATTTGATATTTAAATTGTAATTCTGGCGAAAACTAAATTATATTCGTAAATATTAATATGTTTAGAATGTTATGGGGTCAGGAGGAAATAAAATAAACAAATGAAAATTATAGATAATTTGAGTTGGACACTAGATCTTTGATTATCCCGATTATTATCTTGACGTGTCATAACCAAAAAAACAAAGTATATTAGATTCTTCATCTGCGATGATGTCCGCGATGTCTAACTAAAGAAAAAAAAAAAAAAAATTTTTGTTTGTTTGTTTGTTACATATTTGATTTTTTTAAGTTTTTCGTTAATTAAGTATAAATATAGTTTTACGTTGATCCATTTTTTAAATATTACTCATAAATTCATTCATTTTCTAAAATAAAGTCGTCTTTTTGACCCAATATTTTTACAGCGCCACTTACTCTGTGTTTGACGACTATATCCGTCATCGCTTGATTATCGCGACACACACTATGGCGCACTTTTCAAAATGATCGACACAGTTAACTGGTTAATAAATTGGATTTGTAAAAGTTATCATATCATGATTAGATCTTTCCTTTTTTTAGGTACGAAGGTGTTCCCGGATTTCGAAGAATGACCATTCTACAAAAATGTTGGATATTGATGAAAACAGCCCTCTTGTTTCCCTTTTATTGTATAATATATTTTTTCGCTCCCGAATCAAGGGTCGGACAACTTTTGCGAAGACCTTTCGTTAAATTTTTAGTACATGCATCTTCTTATATGTTTTTCTTATGTAATTATATTGAATTTTTTTTTTTGTAAATAGTGTAAAAAAAAATAACCCATAATAAAATTATTTGAATAATCTTTCGTTTATCAGTTATACTGATCTTGGTATCGCAACGCGTTGAAGTGGAAGTCGTGAAAATTTTTGGGAACGAAGAAACTAAAAGGAACCTTGAGATTCAATTAGCTCGACAAAGAGGTGCAGCACCGTCGCCATTAGAGGGTTTGATTGTTCTATACGTTCTAGGATTTATATGGCAAGAAGCAA